GTCAGTGGTCATTTAGTGCCAGAGGCTTTGGTGGGGAAGGAGAGGGCTTGGAGCTTAGTTTTATCCCTAAACTTGAAATGTCTCCTACCTAGATTATTTTGCCTTAGGAATGAAGACAGTACACGTTTTTCACACCAACAAAGTATGGGGACCGCTCAAACAGCAGCAGTTAGCCCCCAGTTGGCAAAGGGCCCAGGAGCATGAGGCCCAGCAAGGCAGTGGGAAATCAGCTTAGAGATCAGACTCCCAGTTGAGCACCTCTTTCCAGCTGCAGAACTCCAGTTCATGGGAATGCATCTGCGGAAAGCCAGCACCCACTGGGTGTCAAAATCCCTAACACTCTCTTACTGATATGTGGATCTAGCAGAGCAGTTAACCTCTCTGAGCCTCCGCTCCTCAACTCTCATAATAGAACCTACCTCAAGGGGTTGTGGTGATTTACAGAAATCATGTATTTAAGTGTTTAGCCATGCCTAGTTCATAAGCTACCCTGCCCTCAAAATAAATAAATAGATAAATAAACAAATCATATTTCAGTGCAAAAGAAAAGTTGGGCTTCACTTTCCTTTTATATAAATTCCTTTAAGACTCCAAACTGGAGTCCCTAGGCTGCCAGAATCGTCCTAAAGCAGGCCCTTCTCCCCTTCTTAAAAAATAGCATACCAGCAAAATAAAACTGTTCATTGCCTTCTGCATCCTACTAAACTTCTCCATGTGAATCTAAGGTCTCAGGGATCCAGCCCTACCCTACACATACCACCTTAACTACCAGGACTTCTCTGCCTCTCCCAAGGCCACTGTGTCAGCCCTGCATGCCAGGCCTCACTGGTCTCTGTGCCCCTCCAGTCCTTACCGTTCCCACCCCACAGACTGGCACTGAGTCATCACACCAAGGGTGTGCTCACTGCTCCTTCTTGTGTATTTTCTTGTCCCACCAGCAGTAAGTTCCTTATAATTTCAACCGCAGATCTGGCTCCAAGAACGTGTCACCAAGTACTTAGACGGACTGAAATGTTCTTCTTACAGCTGGAGTTTCTACCATGGCTTTTCAGTCTTGTTTTATTTAAACACAATCCCAAATCATCCAGCATCAGAAGGCCCTTAGTGTTCTCCTGCTTCAAACCACAAACCCCTTCCCCAGCGTTACTGAGGAGAAAATGAACCCAAGAAGGGGAAGGTATTTACCCAAGCTCATAGTTGTCAGTATTTAAGAGATTTAGATGCCATACAAGAGAGAACTGGGAGCCCTGGGAAGAAGGGTTTGTTTCTTTGGGGGAACAGTTAGGTATGTCTATTTATAAGGGAAGGGAAGCAGTCCAGAAATAGGACCAAGGATAGAATGGCATGTTTAGGTACAAACATGGAAACTGAAGATCTCTGACAGCTATACAGTTCTGAAGTTCAAGGCAGGAAATGGAGAAACAAGCTTCTCCCCTGGAGGGAGAAGTACCCAGAGCAACTGCAACAGCAATGATCTATGCAATTTTGGAAGGATTACATGGCCCAGGTGGCCCTATCAGCATGGTCTCAGGAGCCAGGTAACTCACAAGCCAGGTAGAAACAGGAGGCACCCAAGCGCTGGCAGCACCAGGGCTGTGGGGAAAGGGCAGGGCCTTACCTTTCCTGAAGGTCATGCAGGCTCTGCTCCGCTCGGTGTAAGCCCTCCAGATCCTTCATCATTTTCTTCATGTGCTCCTTGGAGTAACGGTTCTGAATATAGGCAAACCAGCAGCCACCCACACCAATAACGATGGACACCACCAACATGAAGTCTTTGAGGTGATTGTGCCGGGTCACTGCCAGAGAGAAGGCATGGGGAGTCAGGGTGCCCACGGGGACTTAGCCCTAGAGACTCCACTGCCTGCCCAGGGACACTTTCCTAATGCCCAGCCCTCATTTCTCGCTTGTTCCCGAGCTTCCACTGCCCTGGGATTAGTCCTCATAATCTAGCCCTGATTTATACATTCCCTGTCTACAGGATCACTACTAAATTCTTCATCCTGAGCATCATCTGAATGCAACCTACCTTTCTTGCCTCCTCTCCCACTGCACTCAACACAGATTATCAGTCACTCTCTTTCTCTCCCTCTCACTCACATACAGGTAACATACGTACAATCAGCATGTTTGTAAACATACTAACCCTCTCCCAGAAATGTCTTTTTCTTTTAGCTAATTCCTACTCATCCTTTAAGAATAATATTGTGTATCCCTTCCTCCGTGAAGTCTTTCCAGACTCTCCCATTCAGGAGCAACTAGTTTCCCTCTTCTGACTTCCCACCAACTTATTTAGGCGCTGTGTCTATACTGCTACTAAACCAAGTCTAGTTTGATAAAGAGGAGGGACTTCAGAGCAAGACAGGGAGCTTATGAAATCACACTTCACTCAGATGCAGTGGGGAGAAAACTAGTGACCTCTCAAAACATCCTAGCCATTCTCTGAGCTGGGATGAGCCCATATGCCCAGATACAATGGCTTCCATCCTACAGGACAAGCAATGCTAGTATATGAGAGTAGTAAAACAGGATGGCTGGTCCGAGTAGAAAGCAACATCATTAGAGCTTACGATCTGGCCTATGGGACTGATGACTGCCGGAACTTGGTCTTCTGGATTGTTAGGCCATTCTATGCCTAAAGTCCAAAGCCCAGATCAGATAAAGGTCTGGAAATTTCCATCTATAGAGAGCACTGTTAGGCTTTGGCTCAATCAAGAGTTCTAGGCAGACTAGGGTTAGTGCTGAGAGATGTTCATCTATGAAACCTTAAATATGTCAGAAATACAGAATTGAGCCTACATCCAGAAAAGGCCCCATTTAGTAAAGTGCCACAGCCCTAGTGATCCGCTGAAGTTCAAAGCAATGCTAAATAAAGAACGAAGAAATGATGGCAGAAGACAAGAGACAAAGCCACATCCTAAGAACCGGAGCCAACCAAGAAAGGGCACTGCAGGAGCCTGACATTCCTCCTGGCACACCAGGTCTGGCTCCGGCCTATCGCTCAGGAGACTTGCAGTAGACAACCTAAGCAGCAGCGTGTTGCTCCTACAGGCACTGCCTGAGTTGTGCTCAACTTGGGAGAGGGTAGCTATGGGCTCAGGAGGGCCCTAGCTGTTGAAGTCAGAGAATAAAAAGGGGTGGTGGTGGTAGAGGGAGCTAAACCATAAATTGACAGGTCTCAAAGGGACCCAGGCAGACCCACCAAATTCAGTCAGGGTCTAGACGGCACAGAAAGACACAGATGGCTGAGGTACACAGTGTGAAAATCAAAGGAAGGTTGGGCAGCAGGGCACAGGGATCAAAGGCAAATTAATCCATTTGACTTCTATCCAACGGAGGGGGTTTACTAGATATATGACAGCAGCCATGTCTTCTCTAAAGAAGAGCACAGAGGGTGGGCCCCTAGCTATCCCTACCCTCAAGACAGGCCCACACATTCCAGCCCACACTTCCCCGTCCATCCTTCAGGTCCCAAGAGGAGTTCTTCTCTCTGCAGCACAATTGGCTGTCGGCTCTTTTCCCTCTTCAGCAGCTTCTACCAGGCCAGGGCACTCTGTCTCCCATGTATGTCAAAGGCTTTCCACTTTTGTTTTTAAGGGTTTCTCAACTCTCATATTCCCTTTGCATTCTTATCAAAATCACAGGTACCTTTGCTCAAACAAGATGCCAAGCAATCAGCACCATCACCCTATTACCTCCAACACCTCAAAGTCCTTAAAGGTGGGTATGTAGGTTGGGGGCCCTTTGCTATTCCATTGTCCCTTATTCTACCTTGTCCAGATTAATATGGAACCAGATTCTATTATCCTGCCCAGTTTCATAGTCATCCAAGGCATGAATAAAATTACTTACTAACCAGGACCACGGGTAGAATCTTACTCACCCCTTCCTCTAATGTTCTACTTACATGTATCCTTCTGTGAATTGTGATAAGACCACAGCCATTTCCGTTTGACAAGTGGGCGGACTCCATTAGAGTCAGTCATGTTTAAGTATACGTAATTAGTCAATATTTTATTCATTTGTTATTGTGTACTTTGACCATTTCCAAGGGTTCAGTAAGTGGGTGGAATATTAATATTTGAGCCCTCCTTGGAGTTAAATTGACCTCCCTAGCTTTCTATTTTTTTATTTCTGGGTACAGTGTACTTTATTGACAGTACATGACAAGTTTGGGCTCTCTAAGCCCATCCCTTTCTTCAGAGGATCTGGATGGAAACTCGAAATAATGGGATATTCAGTGTGTTGGAGGATGAGTTGGGGCAAAGACTCCCCAGAAGGTGAGGGCGTCTATCTTCCTCTAGTGCTGTTGCTGGGGCTGGTGGTCCGGGGGAGCTCTTACTCCTTGGAGGCCATGTGGACCGCAAAGTCCACCACTCTGTTGCTGTAGCCAAATTCACTGTCAATCCAAGAAATGAGCTTGACAAAGTGGTCGCTGAGGGCAATGCCAGCCCCAGCATCAAAGGTGGAAGAGTGGGTGTCACTGTTGAAGTCACAGGAGACAACCTGGTCCTCAGTGTAGCCCACGATGCCCTTTAGGGGACCATCGGACACCTGCTTCACCACCTGATTTATGTGATCGTACTTGGCAGCTTTCTCTAGATGGCAGGTGAGATCCACGACAGACACACTGGGGGCGGGGACATGGAAGGCCATGCCAGTGGGCTTCCCATTCAGCTCTGGGATAACCTTGTCCACAGCCTTGGCAATGCCAGTAGATGCGGAGATGATGTTCTAGGCAGCCCCACGGCTGTTGTGCCAGAGTTTCCCAGAGGGGCCGTCCATGGTCTTCTGATGTGATGGCGTGGAGAGTGGTCAGGAGTCCCTTCCACAATACCAAAGTTGTCATGGATGACCTTGGCCAGGGGGGCAAGCATTGCTAACAATCTTGAGGAAGCTGTACTTCTTCTCCTGGTCCACACCCATCACAAATGGGGGCATCGGGAGAGAGGGCAGAGATGTTCACCTTTTTGTCACCACCCTTCAAGTGAGCCGCAGCCTTCTCTAGGATTGTGAAGACACCAGTGGGCTCTGTGACATACTCGGCTCCAGCCTCACCCCACTTGATGCTGGCGGGAGCTCGCTCCTGGAAGACGGAGATGGATTTCCCACTGATGATAAGCTTCCCATTCTCAGCCTGGACAGTGCCACTGAACTTGATGTGGGTGGAATCATACTAGAATATGTAGACCATAGAGACCAGGTCAATGAAGGGGTCATTGATGGCAACAGTGTCCACTTTGCCAGGGTGGAAAGCAGCCCTGGTGACCAGAAGCCCAAATCCGTTTACTTCAACCTTCACCATCATGTCTCTAGGATCTAGCTGGGACTGCCCGGAACGGGGAAGTTGCCCCTGCCTGCTGCACAAGGAGGAGCAGAGAGCCTCTAGCTTTCTTAGTAAGTATGTACAATTGAAAATAAGGAGTCTGTTGGAAATTAGATGTCAAGATAGATTATAAAATTCTTCTTTCATTTACTCCTATGTTTCATGTATTCTTTGTGCTCTTTGGCTTTTTATAGTCTGCCACGCATTGTAGGAACTAAAGCCTACCTGCATATAATTTGTCATTAATATTGCTAAAAGAATTTAATATACAAATTGTGTGAGAAATTAGGGTAATTTGATTAACAACTAGACAGCCAAGTTACTGGAAGGATGCTCCAGTGGCTAACCTCCTAATAAAAAATAGTTTTTCTCTTTTTCTGTTCCACTTGGAGTGGTTATTGATGGGGATCAAGTGCTCCAGGGCAAGGATCCAATATTTGGGGTTAACACTCCAGGTTTTTTAATTAGTTTTGTTTAACGCTACGTAAATGTTCAACATCCACCCCTTACATCCCTCTGTTTGTCAAGTGCACAGCTGAAGCCCACATATATTGTCTGTGATACTCCATGAACTACTATGGTTGGTAGAAGATTAGTCTAATCTGGCTGCTTTACACTTTGTGGCTTCTACGTATCATCCCTGCCTGTCTGCCAGTGGCCAGCACAGCACCAAATGACACACAGAAGGCACTCAAACCACTGTAAGGCTCAGTCTTTACTGGTAAGTCTCAAACGCGATCATCTCTCTTTCTGCTTAACCCACATAACAAATAAAGGATGTTAAAAATGTACTAGCCATTAATATTCATTGTCTCTAATCCTTATAATAACTCTATCAGGCAGGATTTTTATTACTCCCATTATATAGACCAGGAAAATGAGGGCCAGTGAAGGGTAATGACTTGCTGCAGCTCATAACAAGAAACACCAAAGTTGGGAATTCAAATCCACATTGCCTCAATTCATGGTAGAAAAATGCAGCAGATACTGTTGCTGCTTTGTTACATGTAAACCTCTCTTACCACAGAGATTCCTATACTGATCTGATCTAGCCTGAGTGTGACTCGGAATTCCAAGTTTTGAGATTTCGCTAAAACATTTTGGAAGGTTACTGTGGCATTGCCTTTAGAGCCGAGAAGACCCAAGGGTCAAGTGGCAATGCCTTTAGGGTTAAATATAAGGCTTCATGTAGACATTCTTGTCATCAAAGGAAGAATCTTGCACTGAGTGTTAGAGAATGTGGGTTCTATGCTTGTCCCTGCCCCCTGATTTTTTTTTTAATGAAATTCACTTTGCCCATCTAGACTTAAGTTTTTTCCACTGTCACTATGCACCCACCTCCCAGACAAAGTATGTAGATGTCAGTAAAAGCATTTTGAGCTACCTAGGAGATATTCAGATGGGCATTCCAGAAAACTAGTAAGAATGTAGATGTGGCCATCTAGCTCAGAAGCAACAAAGCCCACATGGAAC